AACTTACATATAAAATTATATATAATTATATATAAAATATTTTTTCCCGGGAATTTTTAGAGATACCTTTTTTCATATTATTAAAATTAAAGGAAAGAAGTTATTAAATTGAAAAAGAATTGCAATTAATAAAACGGTTAAATAAAATATTAATTTATGGAGTATATGAGCTTTTCCTAATTTTAAAAATATTTAGTATATTGCACGGATTTTATGTAATATAAAGATATAATAAACTAAAATAATCGCTTATATTAAAATATTTATTATATCACATACCTACATTATAACACAATTGAAATATCTAAAAGATATAGATGAGAAATATAATATCACATTACATCTGATTTTTATTTTTAACCATTTTTACAAGTCACCACTGCTGTTACTCGATATCTCGTTAATTTAACTAAAACGACAGAGTACAATTATTTAATTCAAAATTGAGACATAATGTAATATCAGAAATACTCCACACACGCAAACAGTTACTGATTATGTTTACAAGAACCGCGCAAATAATATAGGATTTAACAAGTGCTAGAGATGCCACAAAGCAAAGCGCGGAATGTACGACGATACCCGTTTGTATAAAATGCGAATAATTGAACAAACCGTGAATATTTTTTATACGCAATAATTGGGTATTCAAACGGCGCCCAGCGTGAGGAGGGGTCACGCGGCGAATAGCGAGGGGGAGCGTGCCGCGCGGCGCGGTGGTTGACTACGTCATCACTTCGGCATTCGCTCGGCGACCTCGAAGGGAGACGGACGTGTTTTACGAGTCGCTCCGGGTGTCGCATTAATTAATGATGAAAATTACATATCTACGAACGAGAATTACGTAAGGTTGCCTAAAACTAAGGAGTGTACTAAGGGTAAATAGGATTTTGTTGCACGGTTTTTGCTTTATTTTTTAGATTCATTACGCACTTACACAACTCATGAATATTTTAAATATTTCATATGTCCTTACATGTACGGTATAAAAATGAGATTCTTATTGTTAGATATTTCAAATTGTGGCTTTTTATCACTTTGAATCATATAATTGAATCGTATTCTGTCATTTTCGTGTTACTGCGCATTAATTCTTAATACGGGAAAAGTAACAGATAAATTATATTTAAATTACCTATCTCTAAATGTATGTGCATGCTATTTATACGTATTATTCTATTTAGTCGAAATTGTTTCATAATTTAAAATAAATCTTTGCATTTATCTTCATTTAAAGGATGTATGACATATTATTAACCTTTATTTAATCGTACATCACAAAAAAGAGCAATAAAAATTGAGATATAATGTTGGGATGTCAAAAGCATTTCACATGAGCAATTATGTAAGAAAAACCACGCTAGTAAAAACCGCCTTTTACTTCTTGTCTTTTGTCAGCACATTGTAATTGATACGAAATATTTAAAATTATAAAATGAACGTCAAATATGTTCCTCGGTGTATCACGATATAATTATGATATCACATTAAACGACTCGCGTCGCTGAAACTAGATACATATAAGAAATTATTTCGTTAATCGGAGAACATTAAAAATGTAACGAATATATTATTTTACTTATTCGTAATATATTCGTTATTATTTCGACAATAAAATTAGACGGTTGGCGCGTGACCTCGGGGTGGGGATGGCACGGGGTGGCACGGAGCGGCGCGTCACGTTTACGCGTAGTTACCGCGCAGTCATTCACTTACCGAGATTCGTACAAGCAGGTAGTCGTGTCGCATGTGGCTCTTTTTCACATTACTTTTTGAAATTTTATTACGAAGAATGCCAAATATAATACGAAACGTTGTACTTAATGATTAATTAATCATACTAGTAATCGTATTACGTGAATATTCATAAAATACAACATTTCGTATTATATCTAGCATTTATTGCGATTATTATATGTTTCAAAAAGAAATGTGAAGAAGAGCGGCACACGACACGGCTACTTGTCTGTACGAACGGTATCACACGAGTCATAAAAAAGCAACGTCAATATGAACTCTCATGCAAATAACACAATTCCTGCTTTCATCATTAATATAATTTATGTAATTAATAATTTAATTAATCTTTTATTTTTTCGTGCACCTTTCGTTATATGGTCCGTATATAAAAAATTAAAAGTAACTTTGGAACACTATTTGTCCGTAATAAAAGAAACATTTCTCTTTTTTATTAATCTCTAGCTCATTTCGTTGATTGTAATCATATCTTATAGACATCATCTATGTATAAATAAAAGAAATTTAGCCCTTTTATCTGCTCTGAATTTATTTCGCAATGATAACGAATTACAGACGTGTGTTTGATATTCGTTTCTAGAAGTTAATCGATAATTGCATAATAATATAGAATAGAGATAATGCTGCATATTACATTTTTCAAATGATATCTTCCTTCTCATGGGTACACCTTGACATGGTGAGAAGGCTCAGTACTTGGAGGATATATACGAAAAAAACGGTTTTTCTCAAGTATCTAAAAATTTTTTGATCTGTCTGAATAATATGTCTAGATCAATTTTTATTGAGATATTGAGTAAAATCGTTCTCTTCATATAAAAATCCAACGACGGGGAAGCTAACGTACCCTCGTCGCCGATTTACTTGAAAATGAACGAACCGCAGCCGGTTCGTCGCGTCGCGCGTTTGCTTCGGGAGTGCCGTTCAAGTTATCGGACTCAAGTTATAGTCCGCGCGCGATTATAGTATATTATTCGCGAGTGTTTTACGCGAGTGTCCTGTGCGAGAGGATGTCAACCCGATTCTGAGAGGAGGAGGAGGTCTGGGAAAGACATCAGGCACCGGCGGAGCAACCTTACGGTAAATATTATTTTTTGCTTATGTAAAATTAATATTTTTTTGTTTATTCTGGATCCATTTTATTTTACAATGATTTAAAAATAATAATTAGGGAAAAGGATTACTTTAAAATTATTTTGAAATTTTTTAAAAATGTATTTATAAAATTTGTTTCGAAAATATATAATTATTTAGAAATATCTAATTGAATAATAAATTAAAAAATTCGATGCTTAAAAAATTGTATTTTGAAATTTATATGTTTATTTCAAAAGAGCTGTGCGTTTAGTAAATATTTTTTAAATATTGTGTTTTTTCTGCTCCGTTTTAATTTGGATTCTATACCTACATGTAATATGTATCTTTTTCTTACAGAATCATCGTAGCTACGTGGCTGATTAACTCCGCTGTTACGCATCGATTGGTGAGTAAAAAAGAAATTTTATGAATGAAATAATGGATCTATGAAAATTGATTTAAAAGTAAACTCCCGCATTAACAATGTTGTAAAAGTTGTTAGAAATTATATAAAATTTCATGGATTCATTATATGTATGTGTGCCTTAAAATGGATGAGTTATAACAGATTATGGCATATATGTAATCTTAAATTTATAGTTTCTCATTACTTTTTTATTTGATATGCCACACATTTGATGTGTGTTTAAGGTACACTTATACAGATACATCAAATTAAATTCATTAATGTTTTTTCAGTCATAAAAAAAATTTTTTTTTAATAAAGATGAAAGACTGGAAAATATTTTAATATTATAATTTTAACTATTATTAGTATTAAATATATATAAAAAAATATTTTTTTAATTTAAAGAAACAAAAAATTTATATTATTTTTTAATTTTGTATAAATAATAAAAATTAAATCAAGATAATTATATGTATTATATATAAAGCTTAAGTTTAATAAAAATAATATATCCCTAATAGATTATACTCAAAAGAATTTTAATAATTTTCGAACAGTGTAATAAAGAAATGTATAACTCGATATATAAAATCATGGAGGCATATCGCGCAATGAAGTGAAAACATCGCGTTGACAAGTATATCAATTGTGTGCGAAATTTCTATTCCTTTCGGATCTCACTAGTCATTAACTCTGAATTTCTCACCTAATATGTTAGCGATGAGATTCGAATAACGATTCAATAGAAATACGATTAAGTCTTAGAGTCTTTTGGTTCACATCCAATAATTTTAAATGAAATTTGGAGATGACAGGGCAATATAGTAGTCAGGCGCGGTAGTCGTTGCGTAAATAATATATAGATATAACACAAAACTCTTTATTACAATAACGCACTTACATATTTCGGCTCATTTTTTATATAATTATATTATAGATATAATGTATACGTAATAACTATCTTGTCATAGTGAACTCCCTCCACTATGTAAAAAATCCTATATCAGAATTAAACTTAGATAAATGTTAAAAAGGAAAGAAAAGAACAATCTCTTTTCTTTTTAACATTAATCTGAGTTTAATTCTGATATAGAATTTTTTGTGTATAAAGTAAAGGGAGCTCACTATGACAAGATAGTTATTACGCATCATTGTATTTATAAAGGTGATTTATGTCTCTGAAGAGGGCTCAAAAATAAGCCGAAAAATGTAAGCGCGTTATTGTAATAAAGAATTTTGTGTTATATATCTGTATATTATTTGCGCAACGACTATTGCGCCGGACTCCTATAGCCCTGTTATCTTCAAATTTCTTTTGAATAGTAAGGGGTTCTTGTAAATTAATTTATGTTTTGCATTAATTTTGATTTGTAATGAAGTTTTAAAAAATGACGGCATATTTATATTTTGGTTTAGAAAGTATTAGGAAGATTATTGTTCAATATGCTAAACAAAATAATTATATAAAATATAATAAACATTAATATTTTATAATAAAAGTAAGAATATTTAATATATTATGTAGATAAAAATAAGAGCCTTTTTGAGGGGATATAAAAATATTTTCTAGATCTACATATAAATTATGTTATTATCTACTTATTAAATAAATAATTATAAAAAAAATGTAAAATAACAGAAAATAAAAACTGACAGAAAATTCACAAAATAAAACTGAATATAACTTTATTGATGAAACGATCTTTACATATAATAATTACTAAATTATATTTATAACACACTACATAAATGCCCTTTTATGTAACCATCACCAAATGTATAATATATGCTGTTATTGATATACGTATATAAAATATATATAATGTCACGAAACAGTTTTTAACCCCAAGGTTGATGAGTAGGTTTCTGTAAGCTCGCATGCTGGACTGCAGCTGCTATTGCGTTTTCTTTCGCAGCTATTATATCTTTTTCCTGTTTAGATTAAACAATATAAACATATTAAGAATAAATTGACGTCAGTAGCTTATAACAATTAATAACAAAAATGATAATAATTTTAAGTAAGAACTTCATGTAATAATTAATATTATTAACAATATTCGCGAAAATAACTGTTCTATTTTATAGAGAAATATAATGAAAAGTTTTAATAATACTACCTTAGCTTCCTGCTCGCTCTGATTAATTTGCTTATCAACATCCTGCTTTCGCAATTCTGCAGCGGTGTTAGCTGCGTTTCTTTGGATTGCTGCAGCTGCGGCGGCTTCTCTTGCCGCTGCTACTCTCTGTGCAGCTGCCACAGTATCCTTTAGGGTTGCTAATCTTTGTTGCAATGCCACGAGCTGTCGGGCGCTGGCTTTAGCTTCGGTCTCAGCATGTTGCGAAATTTCATGGGATCTGTATAAAGTGGAAATGTTATAAGTTCGCAGCGTAAAAGAGATAGCTAGTGAATGTCACGTGGCGGTCTGCAGTAGAACATTAGATATAATGTCGAAAAACCAGAGTAAATTAATTATTTGTATACCTCGCGGCAGCTTCCCTTGCCGCCGCTTCCTTTGCCAATGCAATTTTCTGCTGAATCAGCGCGGCTTGCTTCGCTTCCGCAACTTTATGTTGAGCTACAGCAACGTTATTGTTTGCCTCCTTTGCTTGCTGAATCGCTCTTAAAACTTCGGGCGGGTACGCGATGCTGGGCGTACCAGGCACCGGATCCTTCAACGCCTGTTACGTAAATTGACAGCGAATATATTCCACAAATTTGACGTATGATGTAAACCACAGACTTCTATAGAAGTTTGTGTGTATAGCACGCGCAGTGTAACACGAAGTGTGTGAAATAAACACGCATACCTGAAGTGCCACATCATGCGTAGCTTGAACTTCGACCTGTGCGAGCGCTACGTCCGGAGAGATAGGTGGGTTCCAGGCCGAAGTCGCAAAATTCGGGGCCCATGAAGGAGCGAAGGCTGGCACGAACCCAAAGAAATCAGGCGATCCGAAAAATGTCACTCCGCGCTTATTCTTCTTTGATTCCGATTTCAGCTCCACCACGGTCGCAATAGCGGACAAAAGTACGATCTGCAAATCAATGCTTAATTATTCTTAACGATGAAAATATAAGTTAGAAATGGATTGTTCACTGTTTTTATCTTAGATTCTGTAAAGTTTTAGAATTTTTTTAAATACTTGCACAATATAATAGAATTAAAGAACGGTTTTGTTGAAGTATCCAAAAATGTAGCTAAATCTGAATATAATTTTTTGTTGGACCATTAAAATAATTATGTAGGACATTAAAGCTAGTTGCCTAGATGTCAAAACTTTTTGCAGTACTGCTTGAAATTTCTACTTAATGGTTTTGATAAACAAATAAATTTATTTTCAGATCTTTATCTAACTAATTTTTACTTTAATACAAAATTATTCTTTCCATGTGTTAATTTTGAAAATATAAATTTTTTATTTGTTACGATATAAGATATAAAAAATCTTATTCATAGAATTTGTAGATCTGATAAAATATAGATAAAAACGTGCTTGAACTTTTAGTTACCGTTACGATGATCTTCATCTTGCGAGAAATATTGCTGATGATACTGAATTCTCCACTGGTGGGCCTCCGGTATATATACAACTCGTGATACGAGGAAGAATGCTCTAGCGTCTCCGGGATAATCATAGAATTAATTAAAACTATTAAAGGTGTCCATAAAAGTCCATGTATCACAAACAGAATTATAGGCCTTTATTGTTTAATGACGATTTTCTGGAAGGCGTATGCTATACAATCACTGCACACGAATCCACTTATGTCTTAGAAATCGATGGACAAAGATCATATCTCGTCCTCGAACTCAGGAAGTAGTTAACTAGTTGTGAGTAAGCCAAGTACTTCCGCTTTTACGTAGACAAGTAAATTTAATAGATATTGAGAGGACATTCGATCTCTTGATGAGAGGGTATTGTTTATACGTGTGTATTGTTTTGTACTTATATATGGCTCTATATAAAACAGTTATGAAATAAAGTATAAATAAAATCGATATAATGAAAATTAAGAAAATTAATTATTAATTCTTTAATAAAATAATTACAATTAAATATTAATTTTATAGATATCAATATACAATCTAATTATGATATTACATTTATGGGATAAATATTACAACAAAGTTAAAACAAAAACACGTTGCACTGGAATGATGTAATTATAATATGGAATAGTAAAATGAAAAAAATTAATGACTTGTATAATAAAATGCAAAGAAATGAATAATTTGATATAATATTATATCATATACACATTATAAAATATATAATAACAATATGATTAAACTTATGTTTTTAGTTTTTATTAAATTTTTACATACATTAAACAAATTATATTTTTAGCATTGTTTGTTTCATATACAAAATTTGAGTTTTTTTTATAAAGTTACTATCTTATCTTTTTGAAATAAATTTGTAATATATTTGTTAAAAATTAAAATATTTGTGATATAATTTCTATCAGATATTATAATAACTATCTATATATTATAATAACAGTGTAAATAATAAGAAAACGGAACAAAAAACTTAACAAATAATATGTGGAATCTATTGTGTTATTTTATAATATTACATAATAGATAATAAAAATAGGATGTAACAATAACGAACGTAAATGTGCATTTCTTAGTTTCTTCTAAGAAAGCTGCAGGGAAAAATTCAGATTTTCGTACATATAATATCGATTTTATGAAGAAATTTGGTTTGAGAATATGCACACGTAATATGTTTCTTAACTTAATATTTATTTAATTGTTCAAATTCCCGTCAGATCACGAAAAATTTCTGCATTTGTGGGAGAACGCACTCGGCCGTTAAATATACTTGGTCCGTCGCCAGAATCTGACAATTGTTTCACATTCGATCTAGGAACCGTTTTCTTAGATGAGTTTTTCTTCAATTTCCGGTCATTCACGGAAGAATACGTGTACGGATCTTTGTCTTCGGAGCTGTGTTCGCTTTCAGTCTTGGGATTCTTCAATTTGTAATACTTAGCAGCACGAAGGTAGTCATTTGTCTTCGGTGATTTCTTAGTGAACGAGAACTTTTCAGTTTTTGCGTGTTTAGAATATTTTTCAATCTTGGGTTGTTTGTATCCAAAAAACTCTTCGTAGATCACTTTGGGCGACGTTTTAGTGGATATGTCAGAACCATAAGCAGTGCTGTCTCTATAATCCGTTTTTGGTACCTTACGATTTTTTCGGGAATTACGGGATTCTTGACTGTTCGACTCTTTGGATTCTTGCTTTACGCGAGATTTATTTCTTTGTTGCCGTTTAGAAGAACTCGAATTAATATAACTGCCTATTTCTGGCACTTCCTTCACGTGCACATATTCTGTAATTAAAAATATTAATTTAATATTTCCATTATTGATTTATTACTTCAATTAATAAAAATATAATTTTATGTAAAAATCTCTATAGGTCATAAATATATAATAACTTATTTTCTGCATATTTTGTGTTTATATAATATCATATTATTTTAAAGTTAAAAAGGTTTATTATTTTAAAATTATTTTCAGAGATAAAGCTATACTAAACGAAATTGTTTAATAATATACAATATATAACGCTTATTGAAAAAGTTTAGTTAAAATTAATATAAATGTAATTCTAGATGGTATGTGTGCATACAATTTCTCAGTTTCTACATACCTTGTTTCGGTAGCTCTTCTTTATAAGATTCTTCGAATTCTTGCTCAAAGTCTTTTTGGTAATACTTGGATCGTCTTGGAGGTTGCACTTCGGAAGAATCTTCATTAGCTTCCTTGCGTTTCTCCTGTTTACGGCTTTCTTCTTCCTCTTCCTCTTCCTCATCCTCCTTTTCGAACGAGTCATGAGATGGTTTCGAGGATTCAGTGTATTCACTACGGTATTCTGATGGCGAGTCTTGTTCCTCTTCATCGTCGTCTGATGAATAATTCTTATAGCTGGAAAATGGTTTATCCTCAAAGTCGTCGTCATCAGAGTACGTTCTATGCTTTCCAAATTTCTCGTCGTACTCTTTGAAAGGGTAAGACGTTGAAGGCTTGAAGTCACTTTCCGTTGGTGACGCTTTGAAATGTTTTCCTGGTTGACGCTCAACATCATCCTCTTCGGAATTATCATCGTATTCCTTATCCGAATTTTGGTATCCTAGAAATAATATTTCTATATAGTATAAATATATTTTAAACTTGTTTTATTATATTTCAAATTAGAATTTAATAAAAAACATTAGTTTATTATCAAAATATCTGCAGTAAATCGATATAAATTTTGTAATAATTTTTTTAATATTCATTTTATAATTTTAGATAAATTAAAAATCTGTCACTTTTTAATATATATTATATAAATTAATATTTTAACTAAGTTTTTTTACTTTGAATACACAAATTAGAAGATAATACACACTTTCATCATCTCTAGTTTCATCGTCGTCATCATCAGGTTGGGGTGTATGTGGCTCTGGATTTTTCGTATTGATAATCTCTGCGTCATTCAGAATGCCTTGCGTTCCGACAGGAGGATGAGCGGTATTTTGTCGCACATTAACAGTCTGCACATTGTCATTACGCTCCTTGTCAAAGTGCAATTGTGGTTGATTATAAAGGGATTCGTAATTGCCTTGCACTTTAGGAACATTATTCGTAACAGGGTAAGCTTCTATACTGGCGCCTTTGTACTGCGGAAATTGCGGGCTACCACTGGCCGTCTGAATCGGTACAACTTGACCCTGGAAACTCGATAGAGGCGATGAAAACGGTGAAATGTTACTTGATTGAAGTGCTAAATTCAATTTTGGCCCGGTTCCAAATTTAAATCCCACATCCGGTTCGATTGGATAGTTCGAGCTTAGTAAAAACGGCTGACTGTCGAAGGCAGGCAAAACTTCCGGGAGATCTAAATTGCTTTGAAGTCGAATGATTGGGACCGAGATCTTTTTGCCGTTCATGTCTACAGTAGCTTCATCTTTTTGCCCAGAGCTCTGGGTTATTTTATCCGATGATGGAGTAATGCTGGACGCGGTTGGAATGCTCGGTGGGTACACATGCGCGTAATCGGTAATTTTTGGCAGTGGATAACTCATTTTATACACTGGCGCCTGGACAGTGGGAGAAGAAATACCCTGAGGGATAAGCTTGCCGATATTGGCGAGCGGAGAATATTCGAAATCGGAAAAGCTAGACAGTTCAATTGGTTTTTCCTGATAGAACGCATTGTAGTTAGGCGAATAGATGCCCTGGAGTTTTTGATGTGACTGCGACACGATCGATTTGGACGCATCTAGCGGTTTCTCGATGCTCCTTGCAACTTTGTAAGCATCGGGATTATTCAACATACCAAAATACGGAGTCAATGAATTGCTCCGATGAGATTCTATCTGGTGACTGGGTGGAGCAACGTAGGAAAGCGGCCGCTTTGGCACGCTGCCATATGCATGGGAACCAGGTCCGTGATTCGTCCCGGTATAAGGCACTTTCTGAATAACTGATGCCTTGACGTTTCCATAATGAGGCGATAATCTCAAGTTAATATCCTGAGGCGATAGGATTCTTGATGTAGTTTGAGTACCTCTTGATTGCTCCTGATTATTAGGGATATTGCGGGTGGGACCTACGCGTTTCGATTTAGTAGACGTTGCTGACGTGACGGAAGCCCCAGTCGAAGTCACGATCTTTGTGGCGGAACATATCGCAGACGTAAAGAGAATGACGTTTACGATCTGGAACGTATTCAGCGCACACGCGCTTTAAATATTGAATTATATTTAATATGAAAAAATGTTAATAAAAATAGAAATATAATGTTGCACAGTAATTTGTTTGATTAATTTATGATATTTAAGTTTAAGTTGGTGTTCGTGTAAATTATATGTGTAATAAAAACGGTTGAAGAACATGACAAAAAACGATTTTTTTCATGTTTTGCTAAAGTATTTAAAAATTTAACTAGATACAGATCTGAAAATAATTTTGTTGGACCATCAAAATAATTAATATAAAATGATAGTCCAAAATAGTCGTTAAAACGCCAAAATTTTTTACAACATTGCTCATTATATTTGAGCGTTTTACATAATTATTAGATCCAACAAAATTATTTTTTTCTAATCTGTATCTTATATTTAAATGTTTAGATAATTCAAGAAAATTATCCTTTTTATAAATAAATGTAGGAAAGGTAGCTTCGAAACTTTTTTCAATATTTTTAAACTAATCATAAATCAAAAATGTTAATGACATTATTAATACACAATTATCACAAATATATGATAAAAGTCGATTTCATCGCACAACGTATCCATGAAATTAAATAAATCACTTTTGGAAGTAAATCACTGTTGTTACAATATTACGATACACATAAACGATCGACGTGCGGTAAACGTTATTTAAAATAATTGGGAAACTGAAAAAAGCACGTACCAACATGATACTCGTACAGTTCGGTACGAGTAGAAACCAAAGTTCGATGTTAACTGGTCGCGAACGACATTCTCTCATCTTTTATATTCGGCGTTTACCGATGCGAAAACAACAGAATGGGTTGGACTTTCCTAAACTTTGTAAAAAGCGTATCGAGGAAAACCGAGTCAAATTACCTCTTGCTTCTCCCTGATCAGTGAAGCCATGATCGTAACTATTGATCTAGCTTTTTATTAACTTATACTTCTCTCTCTCTCTCTCTCTTTGTGATTCGTTATATTTATATTATCATCATGTAAATTGTAATGCAACCAGAAATTAGACGAACGATTCTTCATACTAAATCTGCGGATGTGGTTAAATTTGATTTCCTATTTGATATTGTTTAGTAAAACTTGAATTAGTTAATAACATATAATAAGAAATATTTATAATATAAGATATTTGCTACATAGATTTAAATGGAAATGGAATAATAATATAAAATTGCTGTATAATTATACAGATATACATATTTCTAATGTTTATTGAATATCCTGTAGAGGTAATAATAACTGTATCATTTACCAGAATAATTATTTCTTATTTTATTGGCCGTTATTCTGAGAAAACTTGTGCGAGCATAACTAGCATAATAGTTTTATGAATTAACATAGATCCCAAACTAATTTCTGCTTAATTCTCAGGATTTTCGAGAAAGTGGCTATTGCACAATAAAAATGGATTTATGTGTATAGGCTCTATTGAGTAAATCTTAAAGGTAATGATTGTTACATACCGTGAGGTGAACGTCTCTTCCTTCTGGTTTTATGGTTGAATTATTATGTCAATCAAGTGGAAAGAATGCAGTTATGTACATTTTCGCCACATTGCTAATTTATGTTGTGTAAGTAATTAATTTTTATATTATAATATGATTTTAATGTTTGTTCTAAACGCAGTTACTAATTTCTGATCTCTATGTTGTCGGTCATCTTGTTAATCAATTATTTTAAAATATTGGGAAAAATTATAATTGCATCTCTACACTTATTATACTTTGTAGTTATAAATATAATGTAACATTTTTTTCAAAAGTAAAAAATATTTCTAACAATTTTTAATATTTTATAACATAAAACTTACAAATTATTGTTTTAAATTAAAACAACTATTCATTGAAATTATAATAATCATTTACGATTGTTTTCACTTTTAAAAGACATTTTTTTTATTATTTAACATTCTATGTAGAATAGATAATGTTCAAGGACTTAAACCTTAAATGATAATAATACAAACATATAACGAAAATAATATTTTCATAAAAAATTAATTAATACTTTATTTACTTTACAAAAATACTGAACGTTTAATATTTTTAACCGATCATTCTTTTTTTAATTTGATTGTTATAAATAATTATAAAAATATAATAATGTCATAAATTATAAAGAAATATTTTCAGTTTTTAAGAAGAACAATTCCTTCTAGAAGATAAAATATTTTCATTAGTTTAGTTTTATAACCAAGATTAAAATCCCGATATGATTTTGTCATGAAAAGCTCGAAAAAAATTGTTATGAATGTTAATGCAACCATAAAAACATTTTGCCTTTAGAATGTTGATGTAAAAATTTGATATTCATCGTATTTTTATTGAAAACTACAATTTTTAAAACAGTTTTTTGCAATTTTAAATATTGGAACAAAATTATTTATTAAATATTGGAATTGAGTATACTCATTATACATATATTAGAAGTATATTTTATCTTAATGAACATTTTATTAACGTGTTTATCACAAATATTATCATAATTATTACATTTTATTAATGTATTTATTATGATTATTCAAATCATCAAAGGTGAAAGATATTTTAAATAAATAAAAATAAGAAAACAATGTGTTTAAGTTAATTAGAGTATAATTATATTTGTTTAGTGAAATAAAACTTTATTATAATACTTACCTTTTATAAAATTCTTTGCATTTTTCGTTGGTACAGAAAAAGTGTTTAGTTTTTACCGCGTATTTATTGATCACGTCCTTGAATAGATGAAAGAGAAAAGAGAAAGTCGATAAGAAGAGGAAATAGATATAAGTTTAACAGAATATAAAACAGATATAAAGCCATACAAATTATAAGACGTATGTATTTCTTGTTTGATTTAATATGTATATACAGTATTTTTTTCTGCGTCTTACAATAATGACTGATGAATTTCTTTTCCCCTCGACCCGAACATTCCGTGCGAGCGCATATGATACTAACGATTAATTTTTCATTTTCCGTATAAAACTTATTTATTGTAATAAACACTTAGTGCAAACAACACAGCGGCTCGATCTGACCTTATGCTGCATTTGATAATGCGCAAAGCGAACGGAAAGTCATCCGTTATTGCGAACGGGAGAGTAAACGTACGTACTATTTAATTAATTAGAGTCCTTTCACGAGCAGATTTACACTGGGAAAAGTCTGATTGCATCAATTGGAACTCTGATTGAAAATGGACAAATCAAAATTTTTTATTTGAATTTATAGTTGTGTGTGAGATAATAAAAGTTCTGATTAATGTGATTACAATTTTCTGATTCGTCCATTTTCAATTAGAAATTTTTCTCAGTGTACAGATTTTACGCGTAGATCCAGCGAACGCGCGCGCGCGCGCATTGCGTGATTGACATCTTGCTTGTACTTTTGATTACAAATTTACGCGGTATCGTTCGCCGAATAGACATTCTCGTTGGCAACCGAAGTAGGCTGCGGAACGATATCGGACTTGTCTATATAATCCCTGAAGGTATTACCGTAGGACTGCTGCTGTAACCGATGCCTGTCTCTCTCGAAGAATTGCCTTAATTGATTCTTGTTGCGAAAATAGTTCTGCGCGCCTCTATTTGGCAACTGTTTGTTCTTCATTAACATACCAAGAAGATTGTGCATTCTAGGATGATTGATGTCATATTCTGTGTTACTTTTCATTTCCTTTAAGATTTTACCGAGGCTTTCCGGTGTCGACGTGGTGAACGTCGGATAAGAATCAAGGAACGACCGATGCCTAGAATCGTAGTCGAAGCTTTCAGTATCGAAATCTTTAGGCGGCTTACGTGCGTAAGCGTGCGGTCCATCCACATACATTTCTACATTACTAGCAGATGTTTCTAGTCCATTGGATCCTTTATTTGACCTCCATTTCCTTGGGCCATCCTTAAATCTCGATCCGGGTCGTTTTTTCTTCATCTGCTTATCGTGGAAGGGAACTTTTGAACGAAATGCATCCGGTCTGGGTGGCGTAAGAAATTCTAAATAGCTATCATCATTAAAGTCATAGTTGGAACTCGCAGCAAAGTTTATATCTTCCAGTTTAGGTTTACGACCAGGCTTAACGGCGCCATGATAGATATGTACTGGTCCCGCGGGTCGTGTCTTTAGCAAATGTTCCAAAGTCTCCAATAGAGGATCCAATTTTTTTTTACCGCCTGAAGAGTTGCGTACGTCACTTGTGTGTAGGTTGTTCTCGCTCTGATGCGCTTCAAGAACGTCTCTGTACTTGGACTCCGTTAAGGAAGATTTTAACTTTTGTAATTCATGCTTTAGTTTGGCTAAGTCACTCGCTTCGGAATTATTCTGGACCGGAACGTTTACCGGTCTTCTATCGTTGTTCCACTTCTGCGAGTTGTACATCGTCTTCAAGGATTCTCTGAACATTTCCTCAGCGTAATTCTGCAAGTCCGACGTAAGCTTCGGCTTCATGATCAACTGGGTTTGCCCTGAATGCGATTTAAAAAAGTTCCCGCCGGGCATGGCGGGCACCAGATTTAAACCAGGCTGAAGGGGTTCGTTCGTTGGCAACTTATTGTTAAGAGCATTTTGATTTTTTATAATGTCAACGTTAGGGATGAAATTGATGGGATTAAATACTGGTTCCTGAGACTGCACAAGTTTGAGATCCACTTGCTTAGGTTTGGCTCCAGACTCTGTCAGAGGGTTCATGTAATTGTGCAGAATGGTTTGCGGAGTAGCTGAGGCGATTGTGCTGAAAATTGGGATGGGTGTCGTCAAAACAGTAGCCGGATAATGCATCGTTTGATAAGCATTCACATTGAGAGGACTGAGTTTAATGTTTGGATTCACGATCTCTACGGTCTTCGCACCTACATTCGGAAGATGAGCGTTTGCCGCTGCTGCTCCCAGCATATTTAAATTATTAATCGAGTGACTAGTCGTACTGTCAGCGGCCTGCAACACAATGCCGGACAGTCTACCACCCTTCGCTAGTTGCTTATTTATTTGAGCTTGCAGTTCCTGTAAATTCTGTTGAGTTGGAATTAGCTGCGTATTCTGTCCCTGAACATAATACGAGTTAATATTAGCCGCCTGTTTTTGTCCATTTTGGCCGACGGCTAGGCTCGCGGTAGCCAGAAAGTTCCCGCCGGAAGTGGGATACACGTTCTTCTTGTTCTGCATTTCCAAGTTGGCTCTGCTCTCTGGCATCGTTTGGCTGGACAGCAGAGTGGGCACTGCCGGCACACTCTGTACCTGTAAATTACCATGATTTATCAAATTCTGACCTTGCAGTCCGTGGGAATTCACCTGGATTTGAGTTGCCTGCAGCGGCGTCTGTAGAAAACTTGGGTACGTCTGAATAGTCGGCTGCGGCAACACGGTGAAAGTCGTTTGTGGTGTTACATTGCCCTGCATACCGTGAACATTCAAGCTCTGCAGCGCCGGGGTTAAGTTCGGTGCGAAGGCGAATACAGGTGTCATAGTGCTCGGAACGTAAGTCGCTCTTAGAGTATTTACGATCTTATTTGGGCCATTCGGATGTGAGAGTAGAACCGTCTGCACGGGATTTTGGAAAGTGTTCTGGCCAACGATAATATCGGGCACTGGCGTGGAGACCAGGTTCTTCGATACTGCCAAATTCTGAGTGAGGACAGGTTGAGGCGTACTCAAGAGAGGCGTTGTCGTGCTGAATGCACCAATCGGCGCGACGGTAGCGAGATTCTGCAGCATAGCGTTGGACATGTCAAAACCTTGACTACCACCTAAC